CTGTTCTCACCTGAACAATAGTCTGAATAGGCTCTAACGTAGAATATCACTGTAGCGCATGCTTATCCTAGCTAGTTTAGTGAGCTTCCTCGTTACGTGACTTTCGAGTTTGCATTCAGTTTCTGCTGTTCGACCAGCCTGTCCCCGACTATAGTAGGTACACCATTTCTCTGGGATTATTTACGACCTTGAAGTTTACGACGATTTTCCCCAGATCTGGAAACAAAGTCAAACAGAACGTGAAGCAGAACGCGACTCCCCACAGAATCTGCCTTCAATCTCTGCCCCCAGAGATAACCGAGGGCAGTCTGCATGAGTACTTCTCCAAATTTGGCATTGTAAAGGACGTTGGACTGCTGATGGAAGTTATTTGCCTTGGTCGCGGTTTCGTGGTCTTCCATGACTCGGACGCCGTAAGTAAGGTGATGGAGGCCCAGCCGCACAAATTAAAGGGGAAACGGATCACCGTGTCTTGCACCGAAGAAGCAGAACCTACAGACCATGGGTAAGTATTGGGCGTACCGAAAACGTTACTTGTAATAATGAAATACGAATGATCATTTCTTTATGACATTACAAAATGCATTCAGTAACAGCTGAAGCCACACGCATATGTTGTAGGGACGCTACAGGAATATATGTGTAAACTTTGACAACATTATCATACGCCAAAGTACCTAGATATCGCTAGCCCCATCATTGTTTCTTACGGTACCGGTGCTTACATGACTTTTATCCTCGAATAATGTCACAGGAAAGAAAAAAAGTTAATTATAAAGTTAAGCGTATAAAAGCAGAAAAGAATAGGAAATGAGTACCTAAATAATCAATCATTTACGCAACATTAGTAATATGACAGACAAAGTCAGAAAGGAACACGATTTGCGCAAACGTTCCTGAAAATAGGCAACGAATCAACATAGAATCTAAATCAAAATTAAGAAAGTAAAGAAAAGCTATGACAGACAGTTATTCCCAATTTTTTCAGCTAGCAATAGATTCTTATGCACTTGGACAGATTATGAAATGCGATATGCTGACGAGCAAGGGGGTGTTGCCTAAAAACTAAATTGAATTTAAAAAAATTAGACCTAAAGCAAACTTACCAAAACAATTACCAAAATTAAACAAATACACTAAGCAAAAAACTAATACCCAAATTAATGAAACGAAAGAACCCACAGGAAACTAAACATTTCCGGGTTTTAGGGTGCAGTAATAAGCATAATTATGTGACATAAATTACGTATAGTAGGAACATATATCTATGTATATGCCCAAAGATTCGGGGTCCAGATATGTTATCGCGTGCATCGTCTCCCAAAGAAGAGGAAGAAGAAGAAG